AATTAGGTCACTGTTAGGTTAAATGGAAAGTTCACATAAAAATTCCTTTTCATTTTCTCACCCTCATGTTTTTTCAAACCTATGACTTTTGTAAAACACAAAGGAAGATATTCAGAAAAAAAGTTGAGTTTTTTTAAGTAATACTTCAAAGTATTATCTTAAGTGTAAGAAAGAAAGTCATACAGGTTTGGAACGACATGAGGAGTAAATATTAAATTAATTTTAATTTTTAAGTGAACTATACCTTTAAGACACACATTTTCATTTCCCCTAACACATTGATTGTAAGAAACAACAGTTTACCAGGTAGGTTAACGTTTTCTGTTCGTTTTCACACTCATCTTGAACTTTGTCAGCCCCAGTGAGTTTGTTGTGCCCTTCAGGGTGTCACGGTACCAAGCGTTTATGTGGCAGTAGATTACTGGATCCAGTGCACTGTTCATGTAGGTTAAAGCTAAAGAGGCATGAAAACACACCATGAGGAATTCCGAACAGGGAAACACTTGAAGGAAAATGCCAAAAGAGACTGTAGGCAGGAAACACAGAACAAACATGATCACAAGAAACAGAAGCAATCTCACTGCTCGCTTCAGCCTGCGGTGAGCCCCCTGGCGACTGTGGACAAGAGAGAAAACCCTCACAAAACAGAAGACCACCAGTGCAAATGCCAGCAGGACCTCTATCAGCTGTACTGAATTATAAATCTTCATTTGAACCGATGGCCATGTCCATGAGAAAAAACTATGGCATATGAGATTTGATGAGTTTTTCTGTGGTGTGAGAACCAGGTTCAGGGCGGGTGAAAGACGAAGGAGTAGAACACCCATCCAAACCATGCTAACCAACATTATTGCTTGTCTCACACTCATTCGACAAATGCGATGGTGTGGGTGAAGAATCCTGAGGAATCGGTCCACGGCCAAAATTGACATGAAAGCCATGCTTGCTGAGTGGTTTACTGATATGATATATAAAATGAGGCAGCAAAAGGATTGGCCAAATATCCAGTCTTCACCACGAAAGAGATAATCTATGTGGAAAGGCAGCCCAGTGAGGAGTAGGAGGTCAGATATCACCAGGCAGAAGAGATACACATTGCAGGCTTTCCATGGAGACTTGAAAAACAAAATCCACAGAGCAAAGACATTTCCAGGCAACCCAAAGATAAACTCCATAATGAGAATGGGCTTTAAAATGGAAGAAACAAGGGTCTGAGGTTCAGTGCAGGAGGTGATGTTACTCATGATGAAAAGCAAACCTAAAAGTAAATTAAAATTGTGTTAACAATGTTAATAACTATAAAACACTGAGAAAACTCCATATATACTTTAAGATTGGCTGTGCAATACAATGTTCTCCAATTCTGTTCAGTTAATGGTGAATTAGTGGAATAAGCACGCCAAATGATCTTAATCCTATATATCTCAGGCAAAAGAATGAAGAAAATATAATTGATTAAATGACTTTTTAGACTTACCAAACGATCAAGGCAGGAGTTCTCGTTATCGTGAAGGTTAGAGAACAATTTTACAAGTTGCATTAAGTTTTTGGGAAAAGATACCACTGTGGGCGGAGTCGAGGAAGATCAAATGATCTTTATCTTTGCTATCTGTTTGATTTAGATCGCAAATCAGTCACTACATATGCGGTGGCCTATATGCTGGAAATATTAGCCTACATAAATCGAAAGAACAGTCGAGATAAATTGTTAAAATGTGATGTCACTTCAGGGCATTGATGTAACACTTGAAAACCCATATTGGGAAACAACTGCGATGCTGTTAGAATCGATATTTTTTGTTATATTCTATTTTAAAGTATAAAATCAATAAAAGCCCAGCAGGATGTGTGTTTTTAAAAACTGCTATAATCGACTTTTACTCGGACAGTTTGTATAACGTTACAGTCTCTTTTGCTCGAAAATAAGTAATAGCAGGCTCTAGTCTACACTCATGACTCGTGTTATTGCAGTGAGCCGCCGCAGCTCCAGTGGCGCAATCGGTTAGCGCGCGGTACTTATACAGCAGTACAAAGCAGAGCAGTGCCTGTCCAGTCCAGTAGGTGGCGGAAATGCACCGTTTAAGTGGGTTTGCCAACAGCCATTAAAAAGAAAAGAAGAAGAAGAGCAGTGCCTGGAGCAGAGTTTTGCACGATGAAAATATAGGGGTCTCTGTAAAATCGCGTAAGGACACTAGACTGTCCCAGCTGATCACTTTAAGCATACAATGAAAACAGGTCCATAACTCACACTGCTACGTAAGGCAATGTCAGTGTTATTGAGGAGTAAACGTGTGGGCATACAACGAAAGTGCGACTTTAAAATTCAAACACATTATTTTCTATGAGTGTAGGCACACCGGGGCGCCCAGCTACATCGTGTTGTACTTGTAAGCGGTTCTCAATTCTAGTCCTCGCATACCCCCGCTCTGCATGTTTTGCACGTCTCGCTTTGTTAACACACCTGATTCAGATCATCTCGTTAGAAGTGAGCTCCGTCAGGGGAAATCCGTTGAAGTTTACATCACTTCGGAATATTCATTTACAGATTTGCGCTGCGCCGCTGCCTGCAGTGTCTTCACACAAACTAAACTTACTAGAGAAGCGTGATGTGGGACATAATATACCTCTGTAAATAAATACAATTTAAATTCACGTCTCGCACACTTAAATGCCCTTTGTATGGAACATATACGCTCCCTTCAAACTGGAATCATGGAGGAATATCCGGTAATGTTCACTTCGCAGGGCACTTACAGTCAAATATAACAAACGTCTGAAGCAATAAGAGAAACATACAAAATGTGCAGAGCGGTGGTACGCGAGGACTGGAATTGTGAACCGCTGTTCTAGACATGCCAAATATTTGACGCTACAGCACAACAGCTCTTCTTCGTCGTCTCCTCTGATGCGCTCACTCAACCAAGCGTTCTAACCACAACCTCGCCCCTCCCCACCTCCCAACCATTTGAATTTCTGTAGGCGGGAATTCTTTGTAATGATATTCTAATGATCCGCTTTGTGATATCACAAAGCCCGGAAACCAAACGCTGTAGTCCAAACGAGCCGTTTGCTGTAGTTCTTGAAAATGGATTTTTAAAAAACTAAATATCTCCCTTTGGAGTGGACTTTGAGATTTGTAACTTTCTAGATCTTTTTTATGCCCAAACATACACACTACACACTGAGTAAAATTAAAAAAGTGAAAAAGCATAATAGGACCCCTTTAAAACATCACTTTGAACTACTCATTTGAACATTAATGTCTATAGCCCAGTTACTCAACCTTACTCACCTCAGTCCATGCGGCAGCCTTCTGCACATTAACTGATCTTTAGATATGACTTGTGTTAAGATGTTTTTGTCAGGTACAGCACTTTCATTTGACTGAAGGAGATCATAGATACATTCTTCACTTACTTGTTTACATTGCTTATGTTGTGTTTTCACTCGGCAACAGTAATAAGACCCTTGGAACATTTCGGTTCTGTTTTTTCTCACTTTGGCGGCATTTCTAACAGCTGCTTGGGTGATTTGCTCATACAACATTCTGTTCCTCCCCTACTCCGCTGAGACATCATTCGGTGCTTCTTCATATTCCGCTTCACGCTTTCTTAAAGCGTCATAGTCACAAAAATTTAGTTACATTTCTTCACTTTCACAAATGAACTCTCTATTCCGCCTCATAGGGGGGCATCTGGTTTTCATTTTAGGTATGACTCACAGATAAATTGGAGAACTATGCGGTGAAATTCCTGATGAAAACATTGGCAGTATTTTTAATTCTCTCAGAGTCATGAATCTTGGGAAAAAAGCTAAAATTTTCACCTTTAACCCTCAAAGTTGAGTGTTTCAACCACAAATTCACATTGTCTAGCAATTCTGCTTTCAAAAAATGCAGAATTATTGGCCAAACAACAACAATAATAATAGCAAAACATGACACAACTTGCATTGTATTTGTTTTATATCATGATTTTTGGAAAGCTCATAATGTTTCGACATTGTTCATTAAAACCGCCTTGCAAAAAAGAATGTTAGAAGTAATTTAATGTTTATACAAAGTAGTGAAAACCGACACGCCAAACTGGCCGGATTACACTTTAAGATCTACCTGATGCTGCTTTCTGCATGATGGAACTGACATGCTTTCATAATCGCTCTCGTCTTATCTCTTTTTTTTCTCCAGTAACTGAACCTCATTCCCTTTCGCCCTTATTTGAGCCAAGATAACCTGCGTCAAACATATCACTGAGGAATGCTTCACAGAGGCCTTTTAATCACAAAAGCTGCACATTTTTCTTCTGTAAGCACATGACTGAAAGAAACAACAAATGGAAGTTTTGGATATCTATCTCTAATATCAAGACTTTGCTTATGCTTAAGAGTCAAGACAACATATTCACGGAGCTGACAGCACCTGGGAAACATCTTGAGCACTATGCATTGTTTCTCTGACATAACTGTTGTCATAATCTTCATGCCTTGTCTTCTTCAGTGACTGACAGGCTTCATCATGTGCTACACTGCTAAATGCTTTGTAAAGATGAAATAATACATGCCTGTGAGTTTTCCAGACAGTTATTCTTACCATTCTTGTCAATTCCTGTGGATGATAGATTGTGGGAATGGGGATGATGTTCCTGGAAAATGTGGTTTCTGTGGCCAGTGAATAAGTGTCTGCACTAGGAGTCCGGAGCCATGCTGTTTCCAGAGGAGGACATGCCGTTCCTGTCCCTCCAAATGCTTGGGAATAAGTAGCAGCTAAGCTGTGGCTCCAACAAACCATATATTCTGCCTTTTTCACCCTTTAGGCTGCAATTATATAATTTTAGATCCGCTGAGTAACAGACAGAGAGGTCAAATGTCCATGGTTCATATTTTGAGCTCTGAATAAATGTTGGTCATATGAGAAACCACTGTTGCTCAAATCTCCCTCTCTCTCACTATGCTGCCATCTCTTCTTCAAGCACAGGGAATGGACCATTTTGTAGGTCACACATTTCATGCCAAAGATAAATGAGGCTATAAATTAATGTTAACACAATCAGTGACAATGAAACGGCTTAATATACTTCTGCTTCTTACATTTGAAAATTAAAACTATGATCTTGGCCCAGATACTCAATGCCCAACTGCACATATCTTGGATGAACAAAGATTCCCATGGTTGTGGTTTATTTTTATAGGAAGTGGAATTATTTCTACAGAAAATGGAGCTGTGAAAATGCATAAAGCAGGCCACTTGGACAATGCTGTGGCAGGATATTCTTTTTTTTTTTGTCATTTCCTGTCACTGGGATGTTTTTCATTTGCTGGCATGCATTGTGTCAGATCAGTCTGGTGCCAATAGGGGGATGGTGAATATGAATTAATTTTTGCTCTCTGTCCTCTATGAGGTAATTAGAATCACCATTTTCTTCCAATGTCCATAATATTGACTAACTCCCTATTTAAAAAAAAATAGGGGTTTTCGAGCTTTTTGATGCCATATATCACCTTGTGAGTGACATCCTTCTTCAAATATTTTTATGTATACTGATAATTATTTTTATTACATTGACAATATCAATAAGAATATTATTAGATCTATAAACCCTTAAAACATAAAACTAGAGCTGTCAATAGAATAAAATAATTGGTATTAACCATTATTAATAATTAATCTAATTGATTTCTGACTAGTCTTTAAAAGGTAGAATGAAACAGTATTACTTTTATTATTGTTGTAATTATTCAAATTTTTTATTTACATTATTTTTTATGTATTTATTTGTTTATTTTTAAGTTTAAAAAGTCCTGATATAAAACAGATTTAACGTAACTTTATATAACCAAGTCAATATAAAAAGCTTCTTTTGAAAAAGGCAGAATTTTCCGGTTTCAGACAGAGCCCATGTGTTTCTTGTATGGTATCTATATCCTCAAAGACATGATCTGTACTGTCAAAACTCCTTCAGTGATTCGTCCCATAGACTTTATTTAAAGAACATCAAACAACTGCGTTGAAAGTGTTTTGAAACATGGACTGACTTATGGTAATGCGTTGGTGCAAAGCTTTGTACAATTCATTGCGTGTCAATCCTAAAAACCATGAACATGTCTTGGGATCAACAGGCTTTTAAGATGAACTCATTTGAGGTTTCAATTTTTTTTGTTCCATCATCTGGTTCAGCTTGTAGTGCAGCCTCCCTCCTTCCCACCTCCCCTGGTCCCATAATACTCCCTGTGCTCTTAGGTCTTCTGACATCACAGCACACATATCGATAGACGTCAAACATTTTTCACCACAACCAGGCTCAGATGGCACAACTAATGGTCTCCACATGAAACATCTACATAAAAAAAAAAAAAAAATCATGGGGGGGGGGGGGGGGGATAGGGCCTTGCTGAACAGAACTAACCTGTGAGAATCCCACGAAAACCTTTATGACATATAACATATTTCCAAGTATAATCCAAGAAAACTGATGTTTACCATTTCTGGTTGTTAGAATTTGGTATTTGTTTGATGTACAAATAATATTAGAGGAAATCTTAAAATCTTGATCTCATTAGATGAAATAAAAAATCTGCAGTGTTACCACAACCAATAATGCAATGCTAATATGACTTTACTCTGTCACCTCTCTTTGTTTCAATAACCCTATGGTTCACACTGACAATGAGTACATCATTGGAGGTCACTGAGTTTCTAGCAGGCATTCCTGTCTCACAGTGAATCACTTGGCGGGGGTTTTATTTGTGTGAACTTTTTATACAATTTTTCTGTTTAAAAGTCATGTGTAAAGAGATTAAGAAATTCCATTCCATTCC